CCCCCCCCCCCCACCTTAAAAAAAAAAAAAAGCAACAGAGCCAGAGCATTACGCGGTCAGAATACTACCACAACACGCCGCCTGTCTCCGGCAGAAATGCGCTCATCCACACACGGGAACAACACCGAGTTGTTGGCCGAGATACCACCAAAACACCCCGCCTGTCTCCAGCAGAAACGCGCTCATCCAGGCCGAGCAACGAGGAACATTACGCAGCTACAATACCTCCACAAAGGCCCGCGTGTAAAATCCAGGAGTAACCGTGACTCTCTTAAGGGTTAGGTTTGGGTGGGGACGTGGCTTCCTAGTGGAAGTTATGGTTAGGGTTAGGGCAGGGTTAATTAGATGGATACAAATAAATAAAATATACCTCCATAACACCCCGCCACTCTCGGCTCATACCTCCCCAGCAATGAGGCACATCACCCGGCCACAATACCTCCAGAATGTCCCCCGGGTGAAATCCGGGACTTGGTTTTATGGTTCCGAGTGGCGGGCGCTCACCCGTTGGCGCCCAATGCGAGGTCTCCAGCCGCCCCCGCCGTGAGGCACCCCATCGTCAGGTCTGTCAGCCCTCGGAACAGGCCGCGGGGCAACAACTTGTGGGTGGCGGGGGTAGAGGCGAGGCAGATCACAGAAAAATAATAAAGACTAGAGTATGGCAAAGATATGTTGATGAGAAACGTATTTGTAATACGTCAAACACAAACGTAATCAGGGAGAAAATACGTTTATGGTCAAACGTCATTGAGAATGCATGTTTTGGGGAAGGTCATTTTTAGGAGACAGGACTGTACCATTAGACCACCATTACATTTTTCCTCTCGCGCACCCCCGAGAGGCAGCTCGCGCACCGCACTTTGGGAATCCCTGCTCTAAATATAACAATACTCGATTACTCTGAATGCAAGAATACTAGATTACTCTGAATACAAGAACACTAGATTACTCTGAATACAAAAATACTAGATTACTCTAAATAAAAGCCTAGATTACTCTGAATACAAGAATACTAGATTACTCTGAATACAAGAATACTAGATTACTCTAAATACAAGAATACTAGATAACTCTGAATACAAGAATACTAGATTACTCTGAATACAAGAACACTAGATTACTCTGAATACAAGAATACTAGATTACTCTAAATATAAGAATACTAGATTACTCTAAATGAAAGAATACTAGATTACTCTGAATATAAGAATACTAGATTRCTCTGAATACAAGAATACTAGATTACTCTAAATATAAGAATACTAGATTACTCTGAATACAAGAATACTAGATTACTCTGAATATAAGAATACTAGATTACTCTAAATGAAAGAATACTAGATTACTCTGAATATAAGAATACTAGATTACCCTGAACACAAGAATACTAGATTACTCTAAATATAAGAATACTAGATTACTCTGAATATAAGAATACTAGATTACTCTGAATACAAGAATACTAGATTAATGTGAATACAAGAAGACTAGATTACTCTGAATATAAGAATACTAGATTACTCTAAATACAAGAATACTAGATTACTCTGAATATAAGAATACTAGATTACTCTGAATACAAGAATACTAGATTACTCTAAATATAAGAATACTAGATAACTCTGAATACAAGAATACTAGATTACTCTGAATACAAGAATACTAGATTACTCTAAATACAAGAATACTAGATTAATCTGAATACAAGAATACTAGATTACTGTGAATACAAGAAGACTAGATTACTCTGAATATAAGAATACTAGATTACTCTGAATACAAGAATACTAGATTAATCTGAATACAAGAAGACTAAATTACTCTGAATATAAGAATACTAGATTACTCTAAATACAAGAATACTAGATTACTCTGAATATAAGAATACTAGATTACTCTGAATACAAGAACACTAGATTACTCTAAATATAAGAATACTAGATAACTCTGAATACAAGAATACTAGATTACTCTGAATACAAGAATACTAGATTACTCTAAATACAAGAATACTAGATTACTCTAAATACAAGAATACTAGATTAATGTGAATACAAGAAGACTAGATTACTCTGAATATAAGAATACTAGATTACTCTAAATACAAGAATACTAGATTACTGTGAATACAAGAAGACTAGATTACTCTGAATATAAGAATACTAGATTACTCTGAATACAAGAATACTAGATTACTCTAAATACAAGAATACTAGATTACTGTGAATACAAGAAGACTAGATTACTGTGAATATAAGAATACTAGATTACTCTGAATACAAGAATACTAGATTACTGTGAATATAAGAATACTAGATTACTCTGAATATAAGAATACTAGATTACTCTGAATACAAGAATACTAGATTACTGTGAATACAAGAAGACTAGATTACTCTGAATATAAGAATACTAGATTACTCTGAATACAAGAATACTCAGTGGTGGTCCGTCAGGGCCTTCAAGGTCTTCTCTGCTGGCCTAAACAGAATCACAAAGCTATATCTATTTTATAATTTCATAATGTTTCTTAAATACACTACATGTATTATAATTTATATAAATATTTTCCCCATTATCTTATGTTCTCATTGCACAGCTCCTGTCTTCCTCAGTCGCTCTGCTTCCAGTGCAGCTTGTTTTAAGTAGAGCTTTTATCCAATCAGATCTCACCTCTGTGTCTCTAGGTAAGAACAGAGGCAGAGGCCTGCAGACTCACAAGTGCATCCATGTGCAGTTTAAGTGAATGGGGACGATATTGTTGATTGTCATAGTGTTCAACCAATCAGATCTTTAGTTTGACATGTTGGGCGTATTCTTTGACGTATCAGAACCTGCTAGCTGGCCTACAAGTACGTGATTGGTCAGTGGGCTAGCGTGACATGTTGGGCGGTGACAATCCCAATATCTGCTGCCTCTGTGGAGGGGACATCTTCAGCCTCAAACACATTAAAACCTATTCAAGAAATACAACTGGGGAGGCTCGACTGTCTTCACTGGCGTCCATGAATGGAGAAGGACTTCTTACTGGAACTAAAACACACGGATGTAATGAACAACCGTGAGATAAAACTCTTTATTAACAAAGAAAGGAGGATGGACTTTGTCTTTAAATAGTGAACAGCAGCTCTGGTAAGTTAAATGTGTTTGTTTTTAGATCTGCAGTAGCTTTAAGATTCTTGTTTATATATTATTATTTGTACAACTTGTTTTTATGAAGATGGATTTTTGTTGGGTTTTATATGTGATAGGAACCATTGTTCGGTCCAATGTTGCTCTGGGGACACATTTAGTCGTGGCACAGCAACAAGAAGACGCGCAAAGTGGCAGCGGTCTATATACTCCATTAAAGTTAAAGTGTTAAAGCGTTTAAGTTAAGTTTAAGTGTTTAAGTGATCATCTTTGAAGATTCATGTGTTTTCAAGTGGACTCATTTTCCCTCTCGGTGTTGACAGACGAATAAATCCGTCAGTAACAAGAACTATGGAGTCGTGTATTTCCTGGAGGGAGTTATAGGAGAGTTACTACTCTGTTCATGTGTCTATGGTGTCGTTTTCATGATACGGTTAATAGTTCCCTCTGATGTGAATAATATTTGAATGGCTCGTGCTCTTCAGTGTGCGGTGGAATACGTGTTTTATCAACGCATGTTTGCTGGATTGATTTGTTGCTTTGTTGTCATAAATATGTGACTGGTTCTTGTGAGTTTGTTCTTGTCATTGTGTTAATTACATTCATTTTGACTATATGCGTTGCCTGTTAATGACAAAGCATCCCGTCATGCGCGTATTCATGTAACCGCACTCTGCAGTTAGTGTATTTATAGGTGTTGAGTTTCATTTTTACACGAAACAAATAACCATAGCTGTGGCGTCATAATGAGGTTATTAGGAGGTGGTTCAACTGTAGTAGGACAGCACTGAAGGCCCAGGTATGAAACACACGGCCCGCCACTGCTGCTGATACAGTAGCAAACTCTGTGAAGAGTTGTGAAGAGTTGTACCTGAGTCATGAGGTATACCTGTGTCAGGCTTAGTTGTATTTGAGACAGGAGGAGTTGTACCTGAGTCAAGAGGAGCTGTATCTGAGTCATCAGGTATAACTTAGTCAGGCATACTTGTATATCAGACACAAGGAGCTGTACCTGAGTCAGGGGGAGTTGTTCCTGAGAGGAGATGTATCTTTGTCAGATGGGAGTTGCACCTGAGTAAAGAGGAGTTGTACCTGAGTTGGGGGGAGTTGTACCTGAGTCAGGAGGAGTTGTACCTGAGTCAGGAGGAGTTGTACCTAAGTCAGGGGGTAGTTGTACCTAAGTTGGGGGTAGTTGTACCTGATTCTGGAGAAGATGTATCTGAGACAGGAGGAGTTGCACCTGAGTAAAGAGGAGTTGTACCTGAGTCGGGGGGAGTTGTACCTGAGTCGGGGGGAGTTATATCTAAGTCGGAAGGAGTTATATCTAAGTCGGAAGGAGTTGTACCTGAGTCGGAAGGAGTTGTACCTGAGTCAGGAGGAGTTGTACCTGAGTCAGGAGGAGTTGTACCTAAGTCAGGGGGTAGTTGTACCTAAGTTGGGGGGTAGTTGTACCTAAGTTGGGGGTAGTTGTACCTGATTCTGGAGAAGATGTATCTGAGACAGGAGGAGTTGTACCTGTGTCAGGTGGGGCGGGGCAGGAGGAGTTTGGATCGAGGGTCTGGAAGCTGACGGGCTGGTTGGGTTTAGTTCCTTTGCTCAGACCAACACAGATCAGAGGGTACGGCTGCTCGGGTACAACCAGCAACTCCAATACCTCCAGAGGACACGGAGGCTGGAAGTCCACGCTCTGGTGAGGACAGACAAGTAAATAGTTACTATTGGGTAAGATTCTTTACCATCATACTGACTATATTGTAGAGCTTCATGGGTGTTGATACAACTCATCAGAGCAACATTACCACCATGACCCAGGTCTGGGTCGTGGTGGTAATTGTAGCAGGGTTGGTGGTAGCAGACCTGGTCAGGAAGCCCAGATGTTCTTTTCTCTCGCCTCCTCCTCCTCCTCTGAGGTTTTCCCTGACCTGATGGGTAAATAGTCCATCTAGTGTTTTCTGGGTCTGACCAGGTGTGTCCAGGAGGACCCTGACCAGATGCTGAACCTCTATTGACTCCTTTGAACATGAAAGAAAAGTGCTTCACCTCTGAGTTCCTCCTGGACACCCGAGACCTTCACCCTGTGGCTAAGATGCTCTTGAGTAAGGTGTTCTTAGTGCGGATGACTGATTCAGACATTTATTTCCTACCTTAACCAGCATGAACTTCTGCATAGGCTCCACCCACTCCAGCAGGACCACACCTGATTGGAATACTCCGCCAAGGTACTTATGACCAGTGTAGGGATTTCTCACTGAACGGAGAGAGGGGGGGGGGGGGGGGTCTTTATAGTCTACCAAACTTTAATACCTTCACTTTTTGTGGTGCTTTCTTGTTTCCAGATGAATTATGCATGTGTTAGTAATACTTGACTTGATATCAGACTTTGAAAACATGACAACTCAGTAAGACCTGCTCATATACACACAAACCTGTCTGTCTGTCTGTCTGACCCTGAGGGGAGACAGGTCAGCTTAGTCAGGAGACAGAGCACAGTGTGTGGTGCATGATGGGAAATAGTGGACTCACCTACGCAGCATTTCAGACAGCCTTTTGTATCGGGAATCTTATTGGAGATGGAAAACCTCCTTGGACACAAAAAAACAAAAAGACAATCAGAAAGAAGTTTAAACTGAGGAAGTTGAGAGAGAAACAATGCTTGGAAGACATTTTTGACTTAAGAGTAAATTAAGAGTACAGAAGCAAAGAGACAAAACTGTGCTGGTTTTTCACAACTGCCGCTAAATGCCGCTGCGGTAGGGCTTCCGCCATTTTGGGCTAAAACGGCAACGAGTGTCTGTACCTCTGTGTCTGTACGTCTGTGTATTAACGTCGCTGTTCGCAAAAAACCGGGCAACAATATCAACATTTAAATGAATTAATAAAAACCATTGATAGCGTGTTGTGAGGATAACTGACCGGGGCAGGATGCTGTCGGGCAGACGGCGAGTCGAGATGGAAACGGTGATCCTCTGTTTCTGTCGAGTCTGTTCAAACAGACCGGCCAGACTGTGGCAGTAGAGCTGAGAGGCTTTACCTGCAGACAAGACTCAGGGGTCAGTTAACACACAGAGACGATAAAAATATAAAAATGAGAAAGAAAATTGAATTTTCTTCTTTCAGTTCGCTAAAGATGTTTGTCGTTTACGTTTCCCCTGAAATTTTTGAATTTACAGTTCAAGTTTTTTAATCTCATTTCATGATAAAATTCTGTTTTTTCAGTTTGCCTCATGTTGCAGTGATGTGAACACGGCAATAATAATAAGATTTGATTTTAATGTATTTGTGTGACTCACCTGAGATGGAGATCAGAGTGTTGTTCATCACATAAACCCAGGTACACCTGCGAGGAAACAACTGCAGACACAAAAACAAACCAGATGCTTTATCAAACTGTGTTATAGTCTTCAGATCTCACTCACGACTAACATTTCTGTTATTAATATTGTATTATATTATATCTTTACAGCAACCTTTTTTTCTATTCTTTCAAATGTGTTAATGTGATACATGTGGAGGGATTTAGGTTGTTTCATGCGTTAGTGATTCAAATTATCCTGTGAGTGAAGCTCATACCACAGGACATCATTAGTTAAACGTCTCAAAATGAACACCAGAGAAAACGATCTTTGCTTGCATGTTGCTAAATTTTAGAAATATTTTCTCGGTGGGCCTCGATCAGCTGATCCTGGGTCAGATAGACCAGATAGACCACGTGCACCAGGTAGGTGACGTGAACCAGGTAGACCAGGTAGACCAGGTCGGTGAGGTGATGACTGATGGTTCCTGTCTCACCTGTTCCATACAGTTCTCATGCAGCTCGTTCAGGTTCAGAGTGTAAATTCCCTCCTCAGCTCCAAAGATCAGATACTGATCTGAGAACACAAACACAAGAAGTACTGTAGCACTGACACACTGAGACAGAAGTACTGTAGTACTGACACACTGAGACAGAAGTACTGTCAGTATTAGGTCACAGATGTCAGGGTTTACTGAGGTCAGAGGTCTCAGAGGCGAACATACCTCGGGTCTCCGGGTTGATCCAGGAGGCAGCAGAGTGAATCCTCAGAGGACAGCCGTTAAAAACTTTAGAGAAGCAAGCTCCCATCTTACAAACAGGAAGAAATAACGCCAACAAAGTGTGACTCAGTCAGGTGATCCTCAATGATGCATCACTTCTTCTCCTTCCCACCCACTAACTAACTAACTAACACATGACTACACCCACTCACACTAACCAACTAACACATGAATACACCCACTCACACTAACTAACACATGAATACACCCACTCACACTAACTAACACATGAATACACCCACTCACACTAACTAACTAAGACATGAATACACTAACTAACTAACACATGAATACACTAACTAAATACCTAACTACCACCACTCTGTATTGAGGACTTACGTGGACTTTAGGTGTAGGTGGAAGTCCGTTGCTAACAGGTATCTGATGAAGAGATGGTCAATGACAGAACACAAGTTAATCAATAAAACCAAAGGTGTTCTCAGGTGTAAACTCAGGTGAAGAAGTCTCACATTAAACCACACTGTTCATATTTATCTCACTTTGCAACATGCCGTCACAGAAGATTTAAAAACTCAGAAATGATGGCGAGATGCAACTGAACCTGTCTTTTCAATCCAGGTCATCGTTAGGGCTATAATAACCTGAGCTAACCTGACCTGAGCTAACCTAATCTGAGCCAACCTGACCTGAGCTAACCTGAGCTAACCTAACCTGATCTAACCTGACCAGAGCTAACCTGAGCTAACCTGATTTAACCTGATCTAACCTGATTTAACCTGAGCTAACCTGATCTAACCTGAGCTAACCTGATCTAACCTGATTTAACCTGAGCTAACCTAACCTGAGCTGACCTAACCTGAGCTAACCAGAGCTAACCTGATTTAACCTGAGCTAACCTAACCTGAGCTAACCTGAGCTAACCTAACCTAACCTGATCTAACCTGAGCTAACCTGAGCTAACCTAACCTGAGCTAACCTAACCTAACCTGATCTAACCTGACCAGAGCTAACCTGAGCTAACCTGATTTAACCTGAGCTAACCTGATCTAACCTGATTTAACCTGAGCTAACCTAACCTGAGCTGACCTAACCTGAGCTAACCTGATCTAACCAGAGCTAACCTGATCTAACCTGAGCTAACCTGATTTAACCTGAGCTAACCTAACCTGAGCTAACCTGAGCTAACCTAACCTAACCTGATCTAACCTGATTTAACCTGAGCTAACCTAACCTGAGCTAACCTAACCTAACCTGATCTAACCTGAGCTAACCTGATCTAACCTGAGCTAATCTAACCTGAGCTAACCTAACCTAACCTGAGCTAACCTGAAGTAGTCCAACATGTCAGAAGGAGAAATGGTAGTTTGTCTCACTGGAGGATCTTTCTTGTCCTTCGTGTGCTGAACAGCAGGAGGTGCTGCAGACTGCTGATCAGAGGAGGAGACGTGTCCTACAACGAGACAGGAGACGGTTGAAGTGAAGTTAACAGGTGTTGCAGGTAAAGAACAGGTTTAGCAGGAGGACTACGCATTATGGTACCCTGGTTTCCATGGTGATCATCATTAGGGGGCGGGTGTCCATCCTGAAAGGGGAGGGGCAGACATGAGACATTCTGACAGGTAGAAACGATCCTGACAAACAGACGGACGGAGAGTCTCTGGGTACATCCCAAGTCTCTTAATTGCCGTTTCCTCGATCCTCGCTCAAACAGGAAGTTGTTCTGCGCCACCATATTGACGGCCGTCCCAAAGTTCTTATTTCTGCTCTGAGGAGCGAGGATCGAGGAGAGAGGAGGGATCTCTGAGGAGACATGAGGAGGACCCACGAGAACAGACTTCCAGGAAGTGTTTTAACGGCCGACACGCCCCCTCATTGTTCATCAGTCATGTGATTGGACGCTGCAGCCGATCAGACTGATTAGATTGTGTTCAACATGTAAACAGTGAAGACGGATCACATATTAAACTCAAGCTTTATATTTGATTCGTTTTCTGATTCAACATCTGGTTTAAATAAATGTTCATTGTAGACTGAACAACAAAAGGACCACAAACAACTTTCTACATTTATTAGAAAGATTTGTGTTTTCATGATCTGATGTTTCCCTCAATAACTTTATTATGAATACAATTAAAGTCAGAGAGAGCTGGAGAGACTAAATATATATATATATATATATATATATATATATATATATATATAAAATTGCATTCAGTCACGTGAGGCTGTTCATTCCTGAGTGTTTGATGAGTTTTATTATTTAAGAGAAACAATAATCATATTCTGGGTTATTTAATAATGACGTCACAATCTGAATTTCAAAACGTACAGACGCAAATAATTCATAAATAAGACGATCGCATTCCGCCGGTAGAAATGGATCCTGTGCTTATAAACAGAACACAGGACACAGTTTGTTAACAGAGAAACACCTCTACAGTGGTGATCACTGTGTCTTTATTAGTTATTAGTATTATTAGTTACTGTTATTAAGTACAGTGATCATGTGAACAGACACTAACTTATCTAAAGTCTCTTCAGCTGTTAAAGCCGACTGACAGCTGATCAGCTGTGATCATCAGCACCGTCATCAGAAACAGACGTTGCTTCATGTGACGCAACTGAGGAAAGGACGTCTCATGTCTCTTAAAACATGTTTCCTCGTTCGTCTCTCCTCGCATGGTTTCCTCCATGCATCCCTGGTGGGAGGGACTAGGACGCAAGGAAAGGACCCAAGTGAGGGAAACGGGGATGCAATTAAGAGACTTGGGATGTGCCCCATGACAGGTTAAAGGACACACCTGAGTGAGAGGAACTCCAGGGTCTTCAGGGTCTTCGTGAGGACAGCCGGGCCGCAACGTGAAGTCTTTTACACTGAAATAGATACAAAGAGAGTGAACAGGTGTTTAAACAGGTGCGTGGGCGTTTGAACAAGTGTGCGAGCGTTTGAACGAGTGCGCGAGCGTTTAAACAAGTGCGCGGGCGTTTGAACGGGTGCGCGGACGTTTGAACGGGTGCGCGGGTGTTTGAACGGGTGCGCGGGCGTTTGAACGGAGACAAAACAAACAGCTCCAGTCTCAGTTAATCTTTGCTTTGTGAGAGTAAACCACAGTGTGACCCTCAGAGAGGAGGATGGAGGTCAGAGGTCAACACATTCAGACCATAGAAGAAGAAAACATGGCGATGACCTGAGCTCAGGACATTCAGTTGAAATGTCAGCCGTCCATTTAAAAACCTGCATTTTCGTCACCATTAGCAAAGTGCTTGAATGCAGCGTCTTTAAATTTTCATCAGCACCCCCCCTCCCCCCAGAGAGAAGTGATACATTATTCAGACACTCAAACACACTGCAGCTCTCAAACCAGCTGGTACTGAACACATGAACGCACACAAAAACATAAAGCGTCCACACAAGAGAACATGACGACGCTCACCGGCCAGCAGGTGGCGATGATGAGCGACGTCATCCAGACGTCAAATACCAGAGAAGAAGAGTCAGATTTATGTGGTTAATGAGCTGAACTGTTCTCACCTGTTTCTACTGAGGACGACGACTGGTCCTTCATCTTCATCTTTCACCTGCAGCTCCTGCAGGAGAGAAAGATTTATTATTTTCAGCTCCACAACTCCTCCTCCTCCTCCTCCTCACTCCCATGAATAGCCTGCAGGAACTCCAGCTTTCATCTGAGCACATCTGATTGGTCGTTACAGCATTGGTGCTGACTCAGCAATTTTCAACTGTGAAAAAGTCCCAACGGACCAAAACAATGCTGCCTCGTCTTCATCACCACTCAAAAGGAAGTGTGTGTGTGTGTGTGTGTTTGTGCATTTCCTTCTGTTTCAATCTTGAACTTTTACAAACACCTGAGCTGGTTCTGATGGGAACACTATGCAGACCTCTGATTGGACGACTAAATGACACACAAATTAAGACCGACCAGTTATAGTAGAGCAGGAAGTGACATCATCCAGGTGGATGAGAGCGTGAATGACAGGAGGTGAGGACAAAGAAAAAAACAACAAAAGAAAAAAAGGTGAGAGTTAGCATGTTATAACCATGTTATTAGCATGATATTGTGTTATTAGCATGCTATTATCATATTGTAAGTGTGTTATTGGCGTGTCATGTTATAAGCGTGTTATCAGTGTTATTGGCATGATATTAATGTGTTACTAGCATGTTATTAGTGTTTTATTAGCATGTTATACACATGTTATCATTAATGTGTTATGATGTTATTACCATGTTATTATCATGTTATCATCAATATGTTATTACCGTGTTATGT